GGTTACTATAATGTCAGATAATGGAATGCACTATCATTGTACTGAACTAATGTTAATAATTAAACAATGGGAGGAATAGTATGGGATTACACCACGTAGATGGTTATTTCTTGAAGCTGGTGAAGCTAAAACAGTAATTGATTCTCACCATGCACAAGTTAAGTATCTTGTTAGGTCTTCTTCAAAAGTATACTAATCGAAAATATTTCAAAATTTATATAAATTATATTTTATTATTCTTTATTAGATCTCACAAGCAATAAAATAGTATATAAAACTTGGCAGTAAGCTTGAATCGGGTAATGATATAGAAGATGCTATAAAAGATATTTCTGGTACATGAGTTGCAAATTTAACACCAAATAGAAATAATGATAAAATAAGTGACCTTGTTATATAAACCTATGTAAATAATAATAATTATGAAAATTTTAGATAAAGAAAAATTAGGAATGATAGCTGGGATTTTGAACTTACATGAATGGACATGGCCATCTGACGAAAATAATATGAAATATATACATTCTAGAGCAATGCCAAAAATTGGTAGTTGGAAAGAATGGACACCTGATAGAATGGAAAAAATCATTAAAAAACGAAAAATTGAAAAACCTAATCCCACAATTACGAAGCATACAGATCCTAGCAAATCTTGGACAATTCCGATTGTTCAAAGACAAGGTAAATTTATATCAGTTTTATACACTTGTCTAAAATCCTATTGGAGGATGATTATATTGATATGCAATTTTGTATATTTCAAAAACAATATTTACCGATCATTAAGAATATCAAAATCCATTATCTACTAATCTAAATATTCATACAGAGACTAATATCATAAGTGATAATAAATTGAGGTAAGCTGATTTTTTACAATTCGTAATAAAATTAAACTGACCAATTTTTTTTTTTTTTCTGTATCATTATTGCATTTAGTTATACTATTTTTTTTAGTGGGTGGGCTCTAAAAAACAATGAAAAAATTCATAAGCATGATCCAGTAAAGAGAATGACAGAATAAGTAAAACAATTATTAGAAACTATGTTCCATAATGGAACTGCCAACCCACGCCAAAAAATTACAGCCCAACAAATGCATGAAAAGTTAATAATATGTGTACAGAATGGTGAACTTGAACAAGTCGACATGCCAAAAATTACAAGTATTCAAAATTGGATTTCAGGATTTTTACGTAGATGGAAAGAAGCCATGGTGCTTCGTTCATTAGAAGAGAAGGACACTTAGAAACTTTCTGAGTGATTATTCACACATAAATATATATCTCTTTAGTTTAAAAAATTAAAGTCAATTTGTTTTCCAAATTTTTTTAGAAAATCATACTAGTTGGTGGAGTTTAAATTTCATATAACAGTATAATATTTTAGGTATCAGAAAAGTTCTAAAGTTTACCTTTGTTAATGAACATTATGTA